CGCTCGCGCGCGCGCGCGCGGAAAATTTCGCCCGACGGTCGACGGGTAATAAATTTATTGGAGAATGAATTATTTCGATTCGCGCCGAGTCGCGCGCGCCATATCGCGCCGCGCCGAGGAGGCGGTTTTACGACGCAAATTGCACCGTGTTCCACGCCGCGTATCCTCTTCCCGTAAACTTTGCGAGGCGCGTAATTGATAGTACCGATTTTCGCGGCGCGTTTGCGCACTCGGTCCTGTCCTCCTGTGTGTGTCTCTCTCTCTCTCTCTCTCTCTCTCTCTCTCTCTCTTTCTCTCGTCCATGAGTCATCGGCGAGAGGCCTCGCAAACCACTTCTGCCCGCTGCTCGTTGCCCGTCGACATCCGTGGTACATTGACAAAGTGGCGGCGAAAAGTGGGCAGAGAATGCGGCGGGGTGTCCGATTGACTCGTCGACGACGCGCGGAAAAAAAGAACGGATCCAGGAGCGGGACAAAGTGGTCCATCCACTTCTTCCCAGTTGTCTCGGCATATAGCAGACAACTTGGGGAGGGGAAGGGGAGAGGGGGGGGGGAGCGGGGAGGCTTGAAGAAGGAGCTGAGGAAGACTGACGAGCGACGCAAAGACATCCGTCACCTCCGCGGCAAAACCGAGTGGCTTGAATGGTACTTAAACCAGCGCCTGTCCGTCAAACCTGCGGGAATTGTGTCTCGATAAAGCGGTTTCCGGACGCGACGTCCCGTATACGCACGTCGAATTATCAGGGGAATCCTCCCTGGCGGCACCGCGCGCGCCAGGCAGCGCATTCAATTTCGATCGGACGTTTGCTGCGTGGGTATTTGTATAGCGCCGGGTAGCAATTTCCCTTCCCTCGCGCGCATCACGCAACGTCGTTTGTATTGAGGATGAGGCATATGGCGGATTTGAAAATTAACGAGAGACTATACGGGAGCTGCATTGTGCGGCGAGTACCGCGCGCACGGCGGTATATGGGAATTTTTTCCCCGAAGCTACGTGAAAATTGACGTCCTTTGCAAAAGTATAAAGGTAGCCTAACCGCGCAAGGACATTTTTCAAGGATGTCCCATCCATCACGGCGCCGTTGTCATGCCATCTGTCATAAGTAATTACATAGTATTTGCTGCTAAAGAAAGTGCAGATGATCAAGTACATTTTATATTTTAATTGTTGTACATTATAATTATATATATATATATTTCTTTTTCTTATATTCTCTCAATTATTTGTTAAAAAAAGAAACAATTATTCCTTTATCTTCGTATTTATATGTTTCAAGAAAACGTTACTGAAATATATTGGGAATCAGGATATTGCAAAAAATCTCATCTCTCGCCCATTAAAATTCTTAACTGGAAATCCGCTAGTCCATTTAGAAGAAACTGCCTGGCCGGCCACATAGTGCGGCAGCCACGGTCTTCGCGGCCGTAAAAGACCGCAGGAGAGCGTTAGATAGCGGTAGCGACAAGCCGGCAAGTTGACGAGGTACTCTCGTGGCCAGCCGAGAACCGATCATCACACTGCGAGCTAGTAATCAGCTGCGAGAGCTCGCTGCTGCTTCTGCATCGCCTAGCCTCGCTTCCTTCCACTGGCCTTTCCACCCCTCATCCCCTCTTTCCCCTCCTCTCTGGTCTCACCGTTTTCTTTCCACTCTTGTTCTCGCAAATCCTCTGGACTCGCTTTGCTCTCGCTGAGCACAAATTGTCTTCCGAGAATGGTACGCTCGAGATTATAGTTCTCGAGATTATGACGGAGCGGTAGCCGGCCAAACCTCACCGGTCTTCGACATTGTTCCGTCTGTTTTGCGTATTCCTCGCGAGTTACAGTTCAGATCCGTACTTATCGAACGCTCGTGTGCGCGCTCCTTTTCTTCAAGCCTTTCGTCAACTCCGCTCTGTACTACGATTTGTTCATTCGTTGACTGACTACATGACATACTCTTTTACTTATTTGCGTAATCTTATTGCAATGTTCTTTGCAAAGACTCAAATTTTTATTTAAGTTAATAGATTATCTTAATCAGACATTAATAAAACAAAAGTGGAATTCTCGATACTTTTAGTTGCCGTACACGATGTCCGTGGATATCAATAATCCTTCGGTACTGAGCAGTTCTCTGAACATCTCCCACATCGGCGAGATACCTCTCGGCGGTTTGAAAACATGGGCCTTATCGTTGCATTGCGGGCCGTACGACGTAGAGGTCGACTTCAGCCTCCGAATAAACGTCTCGGTACCGAGGAACGTCACCACCTTGGAGTTCAAGCGAAAAAAGATTTGCATGAAGAAAGAGAGCTACACCGAGCCCGAGGAGGTCCTAGTCGCTGCCTCTGACTCCACTTCCGGCGGTCAGATTTTCTACGTGGCAGTTGGTTGCGCGTGTGCGTTTATGGCGGCTATTTTCGTCTTGATTATGGCCTACTACGTGCGCGATAAGAAGGCCAGAAGACATCGAGATCCTTTACAGTAAGTGAAATATACCGACAGAGAGAATCAAGCAAGCGACCAGATTTTTGGATATGCTTAAAAGATTTAGGAATTGCAGGGAATCGAGGGGACTCAGCTCGGCGTGCAGCATGGAAAGAGGCACTGGTGTGGGACCTGCGCAAACTTTTTTGTCGGAAACACCTCCGCCTACCTCCGCTGCGTCAGGATCAACTTATAGAAGACTGGACGAGCGTCCTAATAGAGAACTTCATGAAAGAATTCAGGAAATCACCGTACAAAGGTAATTATCGCATTTTAAATCAACAAAATTAGTCAGATTAAGAAGAAATCTCACAGACATTGAATAATATCCTTCTACGAGGTTTTTATTGGCTGGCTATCATTTTTAGAAAATTATTTATTTGCCAATACAATGAGTGCCATAAAAATGGATCTTTTTGATTTACTAATAAAAAAATAATATCGCAGAAATAAGGAAATTGTAAAATTAAGTGAAATAATTAATCTTTTTCGTATTACAGATGCAGGGTGCGTCTGCTCAGTATTGAATTGGAGGGAACATTTGGGCGCGTGTATAGGGGCAGTTACCATGAAGAAGGTTCTTCATCTCCGAAGGACGTACTGGTGAAAACTGCTGCCGAGCACGCATCCCAATCGCAAGTGAGTTAATTTGAAATTATTCTCAAGTGACACTCTTAAGAATAATTATAATTAATAATTAATATATGTAGTAATAAAATAGTATGTCAACTGTCTTATTCGTATTATTATCATAAAAAATAGAATATTTCATTTATTTTTAAAAGAGACAATTCTCTTTTCTAAAATGCGACTAAGACGACGTTTAAAGTATAAATTTTCTGTTTCGAAAAGGTGACACTTTTACTGCAAGAAGGTTTCGCCTTGTATGGACTCAGTCATCCAGCATTACTTCCGGTCCTCGGTGTTTCCATCGAGGACAGAAGCGCGCCTTTTCTGCTGTATCCACACACAGGCTACAAAAATATGAAGAGATTTTTGCTGAGGTGCAAGTTCAGTAACGAAGGACCTCCGAGGGCTCTTACTACGCAGGAAGTCGTCGAAATGGCACTCCAAGCAGCCAAAGGTGTACAGTACCTCCACAGAAAGAGGATCATTCATAAAGACTTGGCCGCCAGAAATTGCGTGTAAGTAAGAACGATAAATTATTGCCAGTTTTCCCGATATATACGAAGTAGACTATCACTAAAGTCTAAACTAAATATATCTTACATTACTTCTCCGATGATCTAATTTTACGCGTTCTATACATTCTCTTGAGTGATCTTGAAATTTGTACTGCTAAATATATCGCTTTCAATATAGCTTGGTCAGGTTTTCTATGGCGGGTTCTTTATACGGCCGTACCGAAGCTGAAGTCGTTACGTCTCGTTATCGAATTAATTGCGCGCGTAGACTTAATAACCGGTGCGTTACCGTAAGACTTTAATTGCTGTTATCTGCCTGACTTCCATTCGGGAAAAGTACTTATAACGATGCGGTAATGAAATCGCGTGATCATTGTCTCAAGTTCACTTTCCGACTTTCGTCTTTCAGGGTGGACGATGATTTGAGAGTACAGATCACGGATAACGCCTTGGCTAGAGATCTGTTCCCGCAGGATTATCACTGCCTGGGCGACAACGAAAATCGCCCTATCAAGTGGCTGGCGATAGAAAGTTTACTCAATAAAACTTTCACTACAGCTACTGACGTGGTAAGTAACACACACATATATATATATATATATATATATATATATATATATATATATGAGTTAATACAAAAAATTACAATAGAAAAATAAATATATTTAAATTCATCTAACATTTTAATAACTTTCATTTTTTAAAGTGAATTAAAGCTTTAATTAAAATCTTTATTTTACATTCGCATTTTTATATTACGATAATGACAATTTTAAAATAATGTATGATACATATATGATACATATTATATTACATCACGTCATTTCATTCAACTTTAGTGGGCATTCGGCGTTTTATTATGGGAGCTAACGACGTTGGCGCAACAACCTTATGGAGAAGTGGATCCATTTGAAATGGCGTCCTATCTCCGAGAGGGATACAGGTTGGCGCAACCGATAAACTGTCCAGACGAGCTATTCGCAGTGATGGCGTACTGCTGGGCGATGTCAGCGGAAGAGAGGCCAACATTTAGTCAATTAATTATCTGTCTACAAGATTTTCACACTCAATTAACGCGATATGTCTAATTGGGCGTGCTGACTGGCTGTAAAATAGAACTGAACTTCTCGCTATTAAGATTTCTCCATTGAATTTCTAAACATATCAAAAATTTTATTCGAGGGATCCTATTGAGACTTTCAATGTAAGAACGCGTGTATATATATCATTTTAGTACTTAGATAGTTCTCGTATAGTTTTAAGCGTTTTTATAGCAGTCATGTATAGGTAAATGTAATAGATTCTAATTTAATGCATATATATCACTTTTCTTTTCAAAAATTGTGCAATTAAGTAGATCGCTTAACTAAGAAGCAATTGACAGGTCAAAATCGAAATTTGGAATAGAAATTTAGAATCTTATTGTTATCGCGATTTTCATATAAAAGATTCCAAAATTTCGGCCACACAGAAATACATGTATATTTCTAATAGTGATACATCAAGGCATCGTGTATAGTAAATGAGCACAGCATGTAGAAATCGCGTGAATTATTCATATTGTAAAAGTTAAGACTGAACTCCCCCTCACTGTTGCGCCACGTGTTCGGCGCTCGTCCGACCTGTGTCACCCGTGATTACCAAAACCGGCGAACGTACGTCATCGTGCACCGCCAGAGAGTCCCATTTTCGGAAACTTGTACTGCCGATGGTGAAAACGGCGAATCTGAGCCATGTGATACGCGCTTCGCTTGCCTACGTATGTAAGTGTAATTTCGAGTGTGCCAATATAATCCTTCCTTTCTTTTCTCTTTTGTATTTTTGTAAATAATATATTTTTACGCCGTGTGCATATATGTGCGTTATCGATGAGTATACGAATCGCGCCTGGAAAAGAAAGAACCCGTTGTACATAATTAACATTTTAGCGCGCGAGACTATAATTGTACATACAGGCGTTTCGAGCCCAATAAATTTCTATCTATACGATACAGAATGACAGCGTCGCTCTCACTTTTGCCTGCGTCCACCACCCCCCCC